TTATATTCCGATAATCGAGGAACTTCTATAGGATCGGCATATTTATCAAAGCCTCTCTTGCTCATAAGTCCCCAAGAACTTTGCCCTCGATCATACCTAGGGTTATTCCTAACTGTCTCATGTGCCGAACCGTAGTTCACCCGATCTGTGACGTACGGCTGGTATCGGTCTCTATTTGACCTTTGTTCTCTGTTGGTTTCCTTCAAAATTTTAGTGGTTGCGCGGTTCTGACGCGTGGGTTCATACAGAAATCCCAATTGATCATCTTCGACCCTGATTTTCGATTGATACCGATTATGTATATCTGTCCAAGTTATTGTAGGGTATTCGATCAAGCTTTGTTTCAGCCGACGTGACGCTGTCGAACTCAGTCCGTTCAACCCTTGGGTGAAAGCTTGTACGGCCCAATCGTCTGTGACTGGTGGCAAATCCATGCGTTCCATTTGAAATCGGGATACGAATTCCCTCAGTATTTCGTTACCCCTTTGTTTTACTTTGAATAGATCTGATTTCCTCGTTGCGACCTTTATGGCACCATCATGTGCTTTTACGAACGAATCTGCTACCATGGCAAAAGAATCGATAGAATTTGGTGGCAAGTTGTGATACCAGATCATTGCTCCTTTTGCAAGGGTCTCTCCGAACTTTTTCAATAATACGGACTCGATCTCATCGTCTTCCAAATCGTTGCCTTTGATGGCACATGTGTATGAGGTGAGATATTCGTTAGGATCGGTCGTACCGTTATATTTGGGAATTACGGGCATACGGAACTTTTTTGGGATCGGTTTCGGGGCCGCGCTCGATGGAAAAGGCTTTTGTATGAACTTCTTCGAATCCAGCCCTTTCATAATGGGCGGAGCCCCCGGGATCTGATCGATCCTAGCATCATATGTTTCGAATTTTTTGTCGTTGGCTTCGACTCATTTTGTGAGTTCTTCGAGTAGTTTAGCAATTTTAGGAGCGGTTCCTGATTCTCGCTCGTTCGATTTCACTGTGTCGGGCTCCGTTCTGGGGGTTACTTCTCGAAGAAGTGGATTGGAGTTTGGATTACTTTGCATATGAGTTTGGCTATGCAACTGAGCTATCGCTACTTGTTGGGATTGTAGTATTTCGAAAATCATACGCAAGCTGACCCCGATTTCCCCCGTGCTGTGGGTGTCTCGGGCTATGGGTCGAGCGCCACCCTGAACGCTTCTTTCCTGCTCGGAACGCTGATTTGCTTCTAGAGCCATTCATGAATTGATATCTACTGGTACTTCGGCTTGAATTTCGGGTTCCTCGATTCGAGCCTTGTTGCCGTTGTTAGGTAGCCTTTCGGCCACGGGCACCAAGTTGTTGGTTTCATCCTGAAGGCCGGCTTCGAGGTCGATTGGCAGAGCCATTGCTGGTATGAAGTTGCAAGCTGGAGTGTACTGTATATTTGTATCAAATAATCACTTGTTATCCTTAGCCCCACGGTGGGCGCCAAACTATTTACCCGAAAAATCGGATAACGTTGAATTTATGTATGGTTCTAAGGGTAAGTAGATTCCTTTGATCTGAAGATAACAATACACGTATTTATGATGCAAAATAGAAAATGATGAACAAAGATACTTAGTGAGCTTTAGAAAGATAAACACAATGAATTCTTAATCCCAGGGAAGATGTCTTCTATTACAATCTATCTTGCCTTTTATAGCCAAGGATCACTACTTTATCTATAGCAATATAATGGAATAATATTACTAGTGGAGGACCCATGATGGTGTGTCTCCTCCTTAATTCCCGCCAAGATTCTCTCATTTGGTGCGGTTGTAACAACTTTTTGTCTGTGAGCTCGATACCGACTCGAGCTCGGTGTCGGATCGGAACCTCGGCCTTGGTTTCGAGCTTGGTGATCACTTTCAGACATCGATGTTCGGGACCTGTATCGGTCGATGTTACCTTGGTCGATTTGGACGCCCCAAGCTCGACGCCCCCATCTCGAAATTCGTTCGGGTTCTCCATGAAGATACCCCTTGACTGAGATGCCATCCTCGATCGATCTTCATGATCGAGGATCGGTTTTAACCTTATACATGTGCAAGTAACGCAATCTATTTTGCTGCAAATAAAATCCATGGGAAGTTACGTTGTTTCTCGGTATTCCCTCATCTCTTTAATACATGATCCAACTCCAAGCTTCTAAGGAAGATCGGACAGCTAATATAACAGTTATCAGCTTCTTGGCTTTCTCCTTCATACAAATATAATAGTGTAATTGAGAGAGTATATGTACGAATTCAGCTAAATGCGTACAAAAATGACATATGTAGTAGTGCTACCATGTTTTGGATTTGGTTGCCTTTTTCCATCAACAAACTCGGTCAATTACGATCAATCTTTGAAGAATATCTTCAAATGGCTCGATCAAGAGAAGCCCGGGTCAGTCTTATTTGTTGGGTTTGGAACCGAATCTAGATGAAATACCATTCATATGGATACTACAGAAGCCCAGTTGGAGTTCAGGTGAAGTGAATCCACTACCTGCTGGATTTGGGCGGAGGAAAACAGACAAGTATTATTAACTCAAATAGCCGCTCACCCTACTACATAAACTAAAAATAATAATATATGTATAATTTAATGCAAGATTAAATTACATTGGGTGGGCACCACAGAAGGAAATTCTAGCACTTCCTTGTATATATATATTTACTGTAAATTTTGCAACTTTATCTTTGTAGCCATTTAAATTTTAAAAAAAAAAACGAATTAAAAAGAATAAGTAAAACTGAGANGGGACATTCGTTTTCTTTTCAAGAAAAACTTTGATTTAAAACTCAGTGGCTGAATTAGCAAGCAAAGGCAATCCATCTTGTTACCCATACTGCCAAACAAGATCCTAGGTCAACGTTGTACTTCTTATCCTTCCCATGCACATTCATGAAAATGCATGATCCAACCTCGTACAACAAACTTTCAAGGAAGCTTTAATTTGCCAATATAAAAGCTATTATCTTCTTTGCTTTCTCGTTCATACAAACAGTGTAATTGAGAGAGCATACATATGAATTCAGCTAAAATGATCAGAAAGAATGATGTTCATGTAGTAATGCTACCCTGGTCTGCATTTGGTCACCTTATTCCATTTTTCAATTTCTCCATAGCCTTAGCCAGGGTAGGAGGAGTTCATGTATCATTCATATCTACTCCCAAGAATATCAAAAGACTCCCTAAAGTTCCTCCTAACCTGACACACCTTGTGAAATTAGTGGAATTTCCATTGCCAACTCTTGATGACAAGAGTCTTTTGCCTGAAGATGCAGAAGCTTCTGTTGATCTACCATTAGAAAAAATTCAGTACTTGAAAGCAGCTTATGATCTACTCCAAGAACCCATCAAACAATTCATTGCAGATAAAAAGCCTGATTGGATTATTGTTGACTTCTTCCAATATTGGATAGTTGAGATTGCTGAAGCTTATGATATCCCTATGATTCACCTCAGTATTTTCTCAGCTGCTTCAAGAGCTTTCTTGATTGCAGCAAGAGCTTCAGGACCTATTCCGGAAAGTCTCACCTCACCTGCTTCTGAGATGCTGGAATTTTCATCAACTTTGGCTTACCGGAGTTATGAAGCATTAGAGCTTTTCTCCTCATCTTTCGTAGAAGACGCCTCTGGGTTATCTTACGCTCAACGTTCAGCCAAAATATTGCGTACATGTCGAGCTATGGCTTTACGAAGTTGCAAGGAATTCGAAGGTGATTACTTGGAAGCGGTGCACAAACTCATCTCTAAGCCTACTATTCCAGTTGGATTACTACCACCTGAAACATCATCACTAGGAGGAGAAAACTTCAATGGCGATCAATCGTGGCAGAGAATCTTCAAATGGCTCAATCAACAGAAGGCTGGATCGGTTTTATTTGTGGGATTTGGAAGCGAGTGTAAACCTAGTAAAGAGCAAGTCGATGAAATAGCTTATGGGCTTGAGCTTTCTAGGCTACCATTTATATGGATACTACAGAAGCCCAGTTGGAGTTCAGATGAAGTGGATCCTTTGCCAGCAAGATTTGGGTTGACCACTGCAGAGAAAGGAGTGGTGCACATTGGATGGGCCCCACAGAAGGAAATTCTGGCACATCCTTGTATTGGGGGTACTCTAACTCAAGCAGGCCTAAGTTCTACCGTAGAAACTCTACAACATGGGCATGTTCTTGTTGCTCTGCCATTTGTGTATGATCAGGGGTTGAATGCAAGATTGTTAGTGGAAAAAGGAATGGCAATTGAAGTAGAGAGAAAGGAAGATAATGGGTCATTTACCAGAAAGGAGATAGCCAAGGCATTAACATACGCCATGGTTTCTGAAGATGGTGAAGAGCTTAGAGCTAGAGCAAGAGAAGCTGCTGCCATATTTGGAGATAGACAGCTTCATGATTCTTACATTGCTACCTTTGTTGAGTATCTGAAAAATAAGGAGTAGGAAATAAAACTCTGTTCTGTCTGCATTTTCTTCTACTTCCTATGAACCAGAAAATTTAATGAATGAATAAACAACAATTTGCAGTGGAATTTGACATTACTTGCTTCCTCTCAATGGATTTTTTTATAATGTATCTACAACACCAAGGATTAGCCCAATGTTGCTTGATTATACGGGCTGTTGCAGAAAAATATCCAGTTCTGCTAAATCTTAGTCTAAATACATAAAGAGGGCAATCATAAACTGAATGAAGAGAAATTCATAAATCATAGGCTGAATGAACAGAAATATCATAAGCATATGTTCAGATAGATTAGATATAATCTGAGCGCTTTGTCACATACATTTGCCTAATCTTACATATAAACTCTTACTTTTCCTACGCTTTCAACTCATTCTTTATATTTCCTTTTATTTTAACTTCACTTGTAACTAAAAGGTTTCTTGAGAGTGGGATTGGAGGTTGTTGTGCTCATATTGCTTAGTTTTGGCAAATATCAACATAACTGAATAAACTTGTACAAAACAACAGAAGCCTGGGTAAAATTTATTAATAGGATCTCAAAGCAGGTGATTAGTTTCGAATGTATTGGGCTACTTAGCAATACTGAAGGTCAGGTGCACTCCACCTTTAATTATAAATTATATCTCAACCTGATCCTTATACATTCAGAAAAGATAATGACAAAATCAGCATGACGCTTATGAACTTTAATCGTAAACAGGAAAAGAGAAAGAATATTTATCGATAGTTATGGTCGTCAGTTCCCAGCAATACAACATGTACTAGACTTTGTGGAAGAGCTTTCATGATCTTCACGAAGGTCAGCATCATTACGAGACCACCAATACATGAAATGGTGGAAATTTATTCAGACAAAGGGAATTTGAAAAGGCTAGTTCAGGTTAAATCCTCCAAAACAACAAAAAGCCAGAGAGGGTAAATTGAAGAACCAAACAGATGTTCTTGACAGCTAGTTACAACTAATTTTTAATATGACAAACAGGAACGCCCATAAACTGTAAACAGAACTAACAATGTGATAGTGCACATCTTTCAATAAATTATATTTTCTAGCCTATGCATATTTTGAGTTGAGCATAGCATTTCAAGTTCATGAAAGGTAATTTGGAACCTAAAAAAGCGCTCAATAAGGATAATCACCACAATATAATGAGATAGGTAGTAGAGAGTTAAATAAAAGAGAATATTACACCTGACAGGAAAACAAGGGAATGAATTTGGGATATTAACATGGCAATTTTCAGCGTGAGACCCATTTTTACACCTCCACTCTCCGCTGATCCAGCAAATCTTTAAAAATATACAAGTGGATCAGTGGCGGGTCGAGTTGTAGAAATGGAGCTCACAAGTCACAACTACATCCCTCAGTGTAAGTGATATCTCCGGAGGAAGCTCTTAGAATTTTCGTCTGGGTTTGAAGGGTTTTATTTTGTAGAGAGATAAGATAAGGATTTTGGAGGGCAATTTGGGCTGATGAATTTGGCGCCAACGCTCAAAAATGGTGAAGCAATGGAAAGTGTTGGACTGTGCAGAGTTGAATTTTCCAAAAAACGGGATGGGGATTTTCGGGAAAGTGGTGAGGGAGAAAGAAGGAAAAAAATAAATACTTATAAAATTTAAAACCTGCTGGCTTAATCAATTTGGATAAAAACTTATCTGTTTACATCAACCTTTACTAATTATTTATTTACATCAAATTATATTAAATTATAAATTAAGATAAATATATATATTAA